GGAGTCTGCTTTGAACCCAAACAATTATCCTGACAAAACATCGGTAACGCTCTTTATATTATTTCTTCACGTTATTTCTCTTGTAACTTCCGCCTTCATCCACAAAAAACCTAGACGCAGCAGTCACTCATAAATTAGAACTACTTGGAAGGAACAGTAACACCATACATTATAACCTTTGTTTAAAACAGAATTTTCGTGTTTCTGGAATACACGCCTTGAAAAACGACTCACTTTACGTCAACTCTAACAGTCGAAGCCTACCCAGCAACAACCACATACTCAACCTTCTGCTGCACACTCTGACTGTCGGAAAGATACAAGGAGCCAAAAATTAAAATATTTTGGGGTTTAGTGGTGTATAAATCAACTTCTCAATGCTACAAAAATTTTGTTTAAGCTAACAGACATTCGTTCACTAGCGGATATTTAAACGCGGTTTAAAAAAAAAATTTAAAAAAATTTCCTCTTACTTAACAACATTTCTGACCAATACTTTATAATTCTGGGAAAAAGTAATACGAGAAATTGAAAAACTTGAAGAGCAACCCATATATTCTGACGGTAGAGTCACGGAACAAACAGTTATACACGTTCCATCCATTAAATAAAATAGTATGCGAAGTTCGTAGATATTAGAAGCTCAAGAAGAAATAAAAGCACTATTAGCTACTAATTCAATACATAAATTTAGCAAATAACCAAGTAATCTCATAAAATATGAAAGGCAGAAATTGTTCACACAATTTTTGACGGAAATGGCTGAAGCGTCAAAAGAAATCGCATATCAGGAAATTCAGCAAATTTAAAGCGCAGCTTTCAGTAAAAATTTCTCCTTCCAAGCGCTACAACACAAGTGGGAACCTTTTCGACAAAAAGAAACCTTGAGCGAGAGTCTGAAATTGATCGCAAAAGATGAACACAAAACGTAATAGCAAGCGCATCTGAAGCCAAGAACAAAGAACAATGAATTGAAATATGCACAACAAGCTTGCAAAGCTGCACGAACAGTCTCCAACAAGCATGCAAAAAATGCCCTTCTATGAACAAATGTTATTATTAAGTAGCATGCGAATTTCATTTGTATTCCGACTAGTCATCTAAAGAGTGACCTTCGTAATGGAGCACTAAAATACATAAAACGTTCACTCATCAGATTCTGCATGCTTCTGCGTCCAACGTTTGTACCTATTGTATTTTAAAATACCCCTGAAAAACTAAACTGTCACAACAAAATAAAACGAGAAAAAGCACAGTAGAAACAGCCCAACTCACTTCCTTCTTAAGCTGTTAAAAGTCTTTCTTTTCCTTTTCACAATTTTTATATTGTCGAGATCCGTTTTTAGGTGCCCTAAAACAAAAGAACTAAACTGAAATTAAAAGAAAAAAATGAAAGAAATTCTCAAACAGGTCACTGGTTGACAAGGAAAGTGGCGAGAAAGTAAAAATATTATTACGTGAACTTGTTATAAATAAAGTTTGAATTTCTTAAACTGAAAAAAACGATAATACCCGGCAGAACCGTGTTCCCCGCATCTTTCAGTTTCTGCAACTCTTTCACCCTTGCTGCCAAAGTATCTCTGGCTGTAAGTCCATGAGTTAGTGGCCAAAAAATAAAAATAAAAAATACCCCGAACTGGAGAATTAAAAGCGACTGTTAAAAGCAACCTGCTAAACTGTCAATCAGCTCCTCTAATTCACTCTTTAAAGTAACTTGATGAACTGGTTTCAAGAAATCGGCGTAATGTTTACGAAATCGCTGCTTGGTATAGTACTGCTTGTTAAATGAATAGCCACGGTACTTACTCTCGCTACCAACATTCTGTGTAAAAAAAGATAATCGAAGAATTGTGAGAATAACAGATGATGTAAATTATAAATGCGCAAAACCGTGTTGTGTGCGAAAAAAACCGAAACAAACCATAATTTTATCAAAAAACAAATTCACGAGCCCGTGTTCGCGGATCATTCTTTTACTGGCATTTCTAGCAGCCAAAACAAGATTGTAGGACCTGATGCTAGCCAATTTAACTGCTACAAAACAATATAAAACAAAAAAAATAGTAATTTGTGTTGAGAACGAGGATATCGTTACAAAAAAAAAAAATAAAAATAAAATAAATAAATAAAATAAATAAATAAATAATAAAAAAAGAAAGTGAAGTACCTTAAATATAGATTTAAAGTTTTAAAATTAAGCATTTACGTTTTTAGCCTTATAGCGAAGAATTTAGTTTCCGCTACTCATCAACCCCGCCTTGCCCTACAGATACAGCGTCTAGTATTGCAAAGTAAATATCCCATTATAAAAAAAGTATTACCATTCTCAAACTGTTCATCAAAGCCACTGCCTGGGTTGATGACAATCTGACTGATTAGGCGTTCCGCATCATTATTCTGTTCCTATAAATAGTGCAAACTTCCTTGAAAAAAAGTTAACCACGTATTTAGGTCAGAAATTCTACTTACTTTCGGGAAGGTAAATTCAAGACATATATTTAGTGCATGTAAGTGGTAAAAAGTTACTATTTCCAAATAAATTCAATTAAAAAATTACTATATCGTAGTCGTCTCGGCCAGGCCAGTAACCAAGAAGCTGTAGATCGTCACTTTTTGCTTTTAGGACCTTGCCACTAGTACCAGGCAAGGACTGTTGAACGTTAAAGAAAGCAGCAGACAAGAAATCCCTCAATCTCTTCTTATCGTCTTCCTCAATACACACGGTTAAATGTTCTTGCGCTTCTTCCACTTCCTGAAAGAACAGCAAAGACCTAATAAAACCACACTAAAAGATTAAACTGCTTAATAAAATCACCAAATTGAGCCTCTACACACGCTCATCGCTTTACCATCTGAAGGCTATGCTTTGTGAAAATGTTACCAAAAAATTTGCGTAAAAAACACCTGTATTCGTCTCTTCATGTTATGTCGAGATGGCTTTTTTTTTCCGCTTTTCTTCTTAGCTTGCCGCTGGCTCACTACTACATCATTAGGTAAACTTAACGTACAGCTCTTCTCATCAGACATTAAAGTCTCCTCTGCAATAACCAACGTAAATAAGGACGGTAAACAATTCTGCCAAAAAAATCCAAAGTCCGTGTAACAAACTAAAAATCCCACTTAAAAAGCTTTTTACCAAGTTCCTCTTCATCAGAGGACTGCATCCCAAGTGGCACAAAACTTCGTTTGCGCGAAGATGAAATTTCACGACGCGAAGCTGGCGAGGCAACTCCGATTTCTGTGCTTTCGTTGCTTTCAGTACCCGACCACTTCCTCTTTACTACAGCAGGCTGGAAACAGCCGGTAATTTGCAAAATATTTCAAGGAGACAAATTATCTAGCATAAAAGACCTTTCACTAAGCATCAAGGGTACAACAAAAAAATAACAACCGCTCTCACTAAAAAACCTTTCTTATGAATAAAATTAGCTCACGAGACATAGAAAATGGAAAAACCTAACCTCAATTTCCTCACTTGAAGAACTGATAATCCTCTTACTTCTTTTTCCTAAACCGGGGTTCATCTAAAAGAAAACATAATTTGAAAAACTGCAGTTTTAAACTTCGAAAAACAGAAAAATAGGATCTTAAAGCTAAGAGCTGTTTTAAAAGCCCAAACTAAGAACTTCTAACTTATTGTTTGAAAATGATTACTGAATCAACAATGCAAAGAATCCTCTAAACAAGCTCAGATATCAAATCAATATACCTTGACTTCTGAACTAAGAATCTTCAAAATTAAAAAATGACCAACTTATTACTAATAAAATTTATAAAGTTTACCACTGATAATACCTGATAGAACTTTACATTTACAGGAGGTCCAGCCAGTACAGTATTCAGATCAAAGCGCAGGGACGCTTTTTCACATATACCATTGGCCATAAAACTCTCCGGAACAGCGGATACAGTTTGCTTTCGCTCATAATCTTCCATGAACTGCTGGAACTTACTTTTCACTTCTTCTATCCAGGAAGGCTCATCTATGTTAATTTCCTCGTCCAAATCTTTGATACCGTCTACAATATCTAAAAACAAAAAACTCTATCACACTCGAGTCCACCAGACTACTTCGTTCAACAAGAAACAATTAGAAGAGAACCAACTGATTAAAAACAGAAATTTCAAAAAAAAAGTAAAATAAAAAAATAGAAGACTTCCACTAGGTAAAAGAAGACATACACTGCCATTCGCTAGGACCTGTAGCTTGTCTGCCTTGATTAGTACAAAGTGCTCCAGTTCTATCATCAATATGAGGCCTAAACCCTATTTTTTAAAAGAAATCCAATAAGGCATTTAATAAATAAAGATCATTAAAAAAACCGCCTTAAAAAACAAAATACTTTAAATATCTTTGCAAGAAACACTTCATGTAACTTCTTTAAGTGCAGAACTTTTACAACTGTCTGAAAAAAAAGATACTAGTACTGTCATAATAATAACTAATTAAAACAGACCAGTACTTATTACTCCCAGCATGCCTACCCAGTGGACCACGAATAAAATGTTCGTCAAAGCGTAACATAGCTTCTTTAGCAGATATATTGCGTCCTATTGCTTTTGCAACTTCATCCCTTTGAAAATTTCGATTAGGTCTACAGGAAAACAATAACGAAGTAGAATTATTATAAAAAAATACTAAATGTCATACCAAGCACCGCACTTGTACTGAGCTGCTAGTGCTATTAACTGCTCATCTTCTTCTATCAACCATTGTTTACCACCAGATTTCGACGGCAACATAGCTAACTTACCCGCCGGTTCTACCTTATAAGCGTGAGAACGTATGTGAGCTCCACATTCAGCACCCATGGAGAAACACTAAATCCCAAATCGCCAAGCAGTAAAATTCGAATCCACAGAAAAAAATTTAATTAAGTACTATATTCAATTCACTCGGTCAAGTTACAAGTTTAATCAACTTCCCACAGATTGCAGAAGAATATATTGAACTTTCTCTTATCCCAGAATACCAACACGCAAAATTTTTACTGACAATAAACCAGTAATATATTACTCTTAGAACAAAAAATACGGTCGAAAAAAGAACAGAAAATCTTACAGAACTGAAAAAGGCCTATAAAATCCAAACTTTACCTTGACACACAGAAGCACATTTTCTTGCTTACAAGACGAATTCATGCAACGAATATAGTCTTCATTTTTGAACGGCAGTAAAACTTCGCAATTCACGCACTTTAACTCATTCGTACAGTTATCCATAGACACGAATGATGAAGGAAGAAAAAAGAATGCAGTGATAACTAGATGCTTTTATTCGGAAGATTTAGTAAAGCAGTAACAATAAATAAACTTTTACCGTTCCCTTCCGCATGTAACCTGAAAAACGAAATTGAGGGAGCCTCGTCCACTTAAAAAAATGATAAACAGTTAATGACCAAACCGAACCATTGTAATAGCAATGTTATTATAAATTATTCGTCAAAACTAATATATAAAAAGAAAAGTAAAATACTTTTTTTCAGTACCACTTACATATTTAACTATAGAGTCAACAAAATATGCCCAGCAAAAAATGCAGTCTAAAGAATTCAAGCATCAACGCTTTGATGAAGATGAGCTTTGAAAATAACGCGCTGGCAACACGCCAGCTCCAACGTCTCAGCAGCGCCGCTATTCCCTTCCGGACATTAGTTACTCACGTTTAACTGAACTGTCAATTACCGGCATCTTTCTGCCGCGCTCCCGTCAACTACTGTGTTATGCTGTTGGGATTAAGTGACTAGCTGGACTTTGCTAGTTAAGTAAGTTATGTCTGTGCAAGTTGACGAAATTTTGCTACAGTTATAAAGTAATGATCTCTTACTTTCCCAT